CCCCCTTGAAAGAAGAAACATAAATGCAGGAAAGCATGATGTGTTTGTGGCTTTCCTTCTGTGGTGCCTCAGATGGAGCTGTGGGGAGTGTGTCTGACAGAGCATCCCAGCACAGAGATTGAGGCTCAGGAGGCAGAACTAGATAGGAACTTTGAGGGCAGAATGCTTACAAAAATTGCTTCTACATGGCTCTCTGGAAATTATTAAAGGGATACTGATCAAGATGAATTATACTCATAAATGGACACATTGAATTAAAACACTCTAGTACAGTTATGTAAAGATAATACAAAAATACATGGAATTAAAAAAAAACTACCTAGCAAACTGGACTCATTCCTTTTCTCTTCTACTCTGAACTTCTTTTTTTAAATATTTGTATTATATTTATTTATTTGAAAGTTAAAATTTTTGTATTACTATTATAAAGGTGGTTGCATTTACATAAGTCAGGTAATGAGTACATTGCTTTATTTATTGTTTTGTCAGTTGTGGGTCTTAAACTCTAGGACTGGGAGCTGTCCCTCAGCTCTTCAGCTCAATGCTAGTACTCTACCACTTAGCCACAGCACAATTTCTGGTTTTTCTGGTGGCTTATTGGAGATAAGAGTCTCACAGACTTTTCTGCCTGGGCTAGCTTTGAACCACAATCCTCAGATCTCAGTACTCTGAACTTCTTAATTGCTTCTTTCCCCTTGATTATTAGAGTTCTAGAAGCTTCAATGACCTACTTTCTGTTAGGAATGCTTTCAGTTGTAGATAATGGAAAATCAGTCCATGAGGCTAAGTCACAGGTTAATGTTTTCTTAGTGAATATTCTGGAAGTAGTGATCCAAAGGCTGTTTGTGAATGCACAACATTATGATGTATTCCAACTCCTCTACCTTCAGTTCCACCATACCAAGCCAACGTTAGCTTTCATTTTGAAGTATGTTGCCTTTGGCAACAAGATGGCTGCCCAGGCTTTCCCATCACCTCCTCTGGTGTCAAAGGTTGTAGTGACAGTGACTGTGGTAGGAAGAATCAAAAGAAGACATCCCAGTTCCTTGATACTCATTCCTGTTTATCAGGAAGGAAGATTTTCATAGAAGTTATTCTCATTTGCCCTATTCCTGGCATGGGAAACTAAATACTATTTGTTGCTTGTCTTCAGTTAATGGTGCTTGTCTACAGGGGCAAAGGTAGGCTTAGTTTTCTAAACATCTTTTTCTTCTCCCTTCTCTCCCTCCAAAATACAATTTATAAACCATAGGAAAAGTAGGTTAACAATAATAATATTGGCCATAATTATCACGGAAATAACCCTCCTCAATAAGCTTGAGGCAAGGCATAGTGGCATCTTCCCCCTTTGTTTACTAAATTCAACCAAATTCAAACCTTGGAAAATTTGAGGAATTAACTGCCATTTAATACAATTCTATGGTTTAGATAATATGTAAGTAAAAATTCAGTGTTTTCAACTTCTCACATAGTAAAAATACATTTTTTTTTTTTTACAAAAGTGGGTAGGCCTCCGTTAGTAATTGGTAATAACATGTTCTGTTTTCAGTACTTCAGCCCAGTAGAAATTGTACTTATCCATTTCTGCTATTTATATGCCACTTTCTCCACATAGTTATGGTGTCAGTGATCTTGCTAGGTTTTATTTTTATTGAAAGCACCTGTTAGCATACTCTACATAGTATGAAAGAAATTGTACTGAAAAATATAAGCAAAGATATGATAGGGAATTTGCTTTTTACTTTTAATTTTTTGTTCCTTTTTTTTTTTTTAAATGGACATTAAATCAGGAGTCAAAATTGGCATAGGGTTGGGCATAGAGGTACAAGCCTGTAATTCTAGCTACATGTAGATAGCAGATCATAGTGCAGGATCCGACCTCAAGAACCAACTAAAGGCAAGAGGACTGGAGGCACTGTTTACTTATCCAATGAAATGTCCCCAAGGTTTTCAGTTTTGAATGCCTTTCAGTGGACTTGTATTCCATAGATTGTCACAGCCCTCTCTAGTTCAGTCTTCTTACAGTATACATGACAATTATGTAGTTGTTGTATTTTCCCAGGCACTTGAATATGTTAATCCCTACTTCATGAGAATAAACCAAAATGTTAAAAATGAGTAATTCTTTCCTAGTTGTGGGAAATATTTGGCTGGTTTCCAAAAGAACTTCCAAACTGAATAATGTACTCTTCTCCAAGACAACTGAGGTTTTGGCATGTTGCCTTAAAAACTTTCATTGACCTTTTCTTAGTAATAGACTTCTAAATAAGGCCCTTCAATTTGGTATTATGTTTTTTTTTTTATTTGACTAAGTTGTGTTTTGGTCACATTGAGTAATTCTACATAATCAAATTGTACATACGTTATACTTAAATATTCACAACTATGCCATTTAAAATGTATTTCAGAGGACTAAAATACTTAAGAAAAATAATTAATAAGGATATATATACACACATATATAGTTCCCACATTTCCTTTTAAAAACATTAAAACAACACTTCATGCATTCTTTACCAATAGTTTACAAAGTGATGTTTTCTACATAGTTAAAAAAAAACCACACAGTCTCACTAAGAGAAACTGTTACTCATTATCTAGGGCATTAAATCTCTGCGACCACACTCTTTTCTTAACAAATTTGACCTTCCTAATGTCAAAACCTTTCTATTTAATACTTCAGGAAATAGTTACATAGTAATTTAATTACATGGAAGAATCTATTCTTATCTATTTTTCATGTGAGCACTAACTCATAGGCTGTTTTTATACACTGTGTTTACCAGTAATATAGATAAGCATTTTTCAGTCAAAATAACTGCTGATACCTATGTTCCTAGTCACTGTTTTCCTATAGTATGCTATTTTTTAAAAGTATTTCCTATAGTTTCCCATAGCTTGCTATTTTGATGCTGTAATTATTGCTTCTGCTGTTATCATTATTATTATCATATTATTTATTGAAAGGTTTTGAATCAAGATAACTAGCTGGCCTTTAACTCAGGATCCTTCTGCCTCTGTTTCTGAGTGGTGGGAATAGAGGTGTTTGTGCCACACTTAGCTTTGTTGATTATTGTAATCCTGTAATATCCATCTTCCTTACTGCCAATCTTAGTCTAGTATGCTTGCATTTTCTACCACTTGCTTTTAGAAAGATAAACAGGCACTAATTTGTAAAGGTCATGGGGAGTGATGAATGCAGTATGATGCTTGAGGACTTGTCACTTCAACATTTCTTCCTTAGGTTTTTTTTTTCTTAAAATCTTCACTGCCACACTGTTACTGTGACAGTCATGATAAAGCTAGTTGAAATATATTTGTGAAATATAAAGTAAAGCAGTATAAATATACAGATTAGCACAAATGTCTCTTAAGTTGTTTACAGCCCTATGCACTGAAATTGTCCAGGGAGCTTTTGAAATTGCTTATATTCTAATTGACTTGGTGTGAAGCCTGGACATGATAATTTTTAACTAAGTGTCCCAGATGATTTTAAACTACACCAATGTCGAGAAGTTCTTGTTCCTAATCTTGATTTAACCAGATTATCAGCTCTTAACATTAATGCTCAAATTCATGGATAAATTAAAATAATAAAGACTCTACAATCTGGACATGGATATGTACTCTACAATCCTAGGTATGTGAGAAGCATAGATAAACGAATCATAGATTGAAGCTGGCCCTTTATTAAAGAAAAATGTGACTGCATTATAAAACAGAAAGGGGTAGAGCTGGCTCAAGTGAGAGAGCTCTTACCTAATAAATTTGAGACCCCGAATTAACATCTGAGACTCTACTATTCACTAAAAAAAAGTAATATAAATATATACTCTCTCAAGTTCCGAAAATTCAAGTCAACTTGCATGGAACTCAATTATGTTTTTGGGCTTGATTTTAATGTGAAATCAAGGTTATGAATTATTGCTTGAGAACCAAAGGGTTCTAACATTAAAGCATAGGGAAGAATGATGCTGCCATTATATTTTCACTTTTTTTATATAGCAAATCTTTGGTTACCAGAAAAATTCACAGGCAAAAATTCAGTTTTACAACTTCAGTTAATTAATTTTGTTTTGAAAATTATTTGTAGTAGCAGTGATTAGAAGCAAACTGAAAAATATTAAAATATTAAAGAATGTGTTTGAGCAGTGATTCATGCATCAAGTTCTTACAGATGTCCAGGAACACCAAAAAATGGGGCAAAGGAGGAGACTTTTATTAGGGTGAAGACAGATCAACGAAAATAAAATCTTTGATGACAGTTGCAGCATCCAAATCCTCTTTGTTTTCGGCAGTTAGTGGACAGTTCTGACTAACAAATGTTGTATCAATGGTTTGTCCTGAACTGGGTTCCTGTAGAGTACTCGAGCTGTCTTCCTGAATGTAATAATGGAATTTCTTAAGAAAGGCTCTAGACGTTCTATGTGTGAGTAGTTTGAGTTTTTTTCCTCCTGTGATGAAATTATTTTATTATTTTTAATCTAAGATTCAGAAACTTTAGTTGCTCTGAGAAAGTCCCTGTTGAGAAAGTGTTGCCATATTGGTTGGGTTAATAATGACTTTGGATCTATTAATGTTTACTGTTCTAATATAAAAGAATGTCTCCCACACAGCTTTTGTTCATCAAGGAAAGGCACGATCTCAGCCCTAGCTTCCATAGAACATGTAAGAATGCGGGCCCTTCACTATTTATACCAAGGTAGAAAGGGATTTAATTACTTTGACAATGCCAACGTGCCAGCCAGAACAGGAGTCATATTCAGTGTACATTACATATAAAAATATGAACCATAGTATGTAACTGGAGGGCAGAGACAGGGCGGGAATGGGGGGGATGAAAGAAGGGGTGACATTGACCAAGAAGCACTGTACTCATAACTCGGCTTATGGGATTGTAATGTCTTTCTACAACTACATCATCATCATCATCATCATAGATTCATTTGTGTGTGACAAAGAGAGGTGGTATAAGCCTCACGGAGGCCAGCCATGCATGCATGCACCTGCGTGCAGGCGTAGGTAGGGCATACAGTGACACAGCATCGTGGTGGTCACATGATGACAAGCTGGCTTGTTCTGCGCCCTACCGCGCAGGCGCCCTACCGCGCAGGCGCCCTACCGCGCAGGCGCCCTACCGCGCAGGCGCCCTACCGCGCAGGCGCCCTACCGCGCAGGCGCCCTACCGCGCAGGCGCCCTACCGCGCGCCGCGCATGCGCATTCACACTTCTACGTTTGCACCCTCCGCAGCAACGGACAGAGCACCGCCATGGCCACGGCCAAGGGCCCCAACCCCGACGCAGAGACGGTGCAGGTGCTGCAGGACGTGGCCAACCGCCTGCGGATCCGTTCCATCAGGGCCACGTGTGCCTCGGGCTCCGGGCATCCTACGTCGTGCTGCAGCGCGGCGGAGATGGTGTCTGTCCTCTTCTTCCACACCATGAGGTACAAACCGACGGAGCCGCGACACCCGGACAACGACCGCTTCGTCCTCTCCCAGGGCCACGCCGCGCCCCTCCTGGACGCCGCTTGGGCCGAGGCGGGCCGCGCGCGCGAGCCCGACGCGCCGACCCCGCGGAACACGGACGGTGCCGCGGAGGGCCCCCCCTCCCCGCGCCTGCCCTTCGTGGACGTGGCCACGGGCTCCCTCGGGCAGGGCCTGGGCGCCGCCTGCGGCCTGGCCTTCACCGGCAAGTACTTGGACAAGGCCAGCTACCGGGTGTTCTGCCTCCTGGGAGATGGCGAGTCCTCGGAGGGCTCCGTCTGGGAGGCGCTGGCCTTCGGCTCCCAGTACAACCTGGACAACCTCGTGGCGGTGTTGGACGTGAACCCCCTGGGGCAGAGCGGCGCCGCCCCGCCGGGCCACCGCACCGACGAGTACCGGCGGCGCTGCGAAGCCTTCGGCTGGAACGCCTACTCGGTGGACGGCCACGACGTGGAGGCGCTGTGCCAGGCCTTCTGGCAAGCAGCGCAAGTGAAGAACAAGCCCACCGCCATCATCACCAAGACCTTCAAGGGTCGGGGTGTGCCCCACATGGAGGACGCCGAAGAGCAAGCCGATGCAGTTATCGCATCCCTCGAGAGTCAAATAAGATCCAACCGCCGTCTCACACCCAAGGCCCCCGTGGAAGACTCGCCGCAGATCAACACCAATAACGTGAAAATGGCCTCGCCTCCTGCTTACAGACTGGGCGAGAAGATAGCCACCGGAAAAGCCTCTGGTTTGGCCCTGGCTAAACTGGGCCATGCTCACAAAAGAGTTATTGTTTTGGACTGTGACCCGAAGAACTCCATCTTCTCCGAGATTTTCAAGAAAGAGCATCCCGAGCGCTACATAGAGTGTCTGATGGCCGAGCAGAACATGGTGAGCGTGGCTCTGGGGTGTGCTACACGAGGGCGGACCATTGCCTTTGCCAGTACCTTTGCTGCCTTTTTCACCCGCGCCTTCGATCAGATCCGAATGGGTGCCATCTCGGACACCAACATCAATCTGATTGGTTCTCACTGCGGGGTGTCCTTTGGTGAAGATGGACCCTACCAGATGGCGCTAGAGGATCTGGCCATGTTCCGAAGCATTCCCAATTGTACCATCTTCTATCCAAGCGACGCCGTCTCCACGGAGCACGCTGTTTATCTGGCTGCCAGTACCAAGGGAATGTGCTTCATTCGGACCAGTCGGCCAGAAACTGCCGTGATCTATACCCCACATGAACCTTTTGAGGTCGGACAGGCCAAGGTCATCCACCAGAGTGCCCAGGACAAGGTGACAGTTATCGGAGCTGGAGTTACTCTCCATGAAGCCTTAGCAGCTGCTGATGATCTTTTCCAGCAAGGCATTTCTGTTCGTGTCATTGACCTATTCACCATTAAACCATTGGATGCTGCCACCATCATCTCCAATGCAAAAGCCACAGGTGGCCGGATTATCACCGTGGAAGACCACTACCTAGAAGGTGGCATTGGAGAAGCTGTGTGTGCAGCCGTCTCTGGAGAGCCCGACATCCACGTTCATCGGCTGGCGGTGACAGAGCTGCCTCGAAGTGGGAAACCTGGGGAATTGCTGGATATGTTTGGAATCAGTGCCAGACACATCATAGCAGCTGTGAAATATACTTTAAAGAACTAAAATAGCTCGTTTCTTAACAACTCTAAATCTCTTTGCGTTGGTCTTAAAACACTGGAGTCTCCATATTCAATTTATACTTGTATGTAACCATCATATTTATTTGTATAGTCGGGCATATTTAAGAGCAAAGCTATTTAGCACCATAATTTCTAATTCAAAAATTCAAATCACAAGCTGACTATAAATGTGTATCTATGTTTATATATATATTTATAAGCTAATCATTTTTGAATGATTAAAGTGGGTTATAAAATTTTAGGTTGAAGAATAGGAACTAAGACACTTATCTAATACAAAGTTTTCGGGCAAGACTATATAGCATTGGGTTGTGTATCATTTCTTTGTAAACTAAGAAAATGTGAATTTAATTGTAGCCTTTGTTAGTCCAGAGTTTGAAGCAAGTTTGAATGTTCATGTAATTCAATGGCCATTCTACACCTGGAATTTTCCAGTTGATGTTTGACAGTAATTGCCTTGAAGTGTCCTCAAGTTTATCTCCCCTCCGAAGTCTAAGGGCAATAAGAATAACAGTGAAAGTTACTCGGATGGCCCATACTGCTGGAGGTGCCATTCTGTAAAGAAATGAAAACAAAACTAGTTCCAGGTTGCATAGTGCATGCACTGTCCTGTGAAAATTCAGGACTGTGAGTTTCTTTTTTTTTTCTTTTTCAAGACCAAGCAAGATTGCTAACTTGATTATATTGATCAACACAAGGAAAATAGTATAATAAAGCATTTATAAACAAGCTGTCTTAGTTTCTGTTGTGCATATGTGATTTGGTTTCCCTGATAAAATTGTAATAAGTACCAACATAAAACAGAGAGAGACACATCATCCAACAAAAAATTTGACAAAACATGGTCAGGGCTAAGTCACTACAATGAATAAGATGAAAAGAAGTCCCTGAAGCAGAACCCTTACTTTTAACCGTGTATATATAAATGATACTCTTGGCATCTCATGGACCAGATGACTCTACATGTGTGGGTGTGTTTTACTGTTCATCCATTGGACTATTCTTATTCCCATGTTTCATGTTTTCATTGTCATCAATTTTTAATATCCAGGAGTTTAAGTCCTCTACTTCCTCTACATTTGTTCTATGTTAACATTTTTTTGGCTATTTTAGTCCTTTATTTACATATACATCTTAAAAATGTAGTTTGAAGCCGAGCATGGGTGGCTCACGCCTGTAATCCTAGCTACTCAGGAGGCTGAGATCTGAGGATCTGTAGCTCAAGTGGTAGGGCGCTCACCTTGAACTGATGATCTGAGGGACAGCATCCAGGCCCAGAGTTCAAGCCCAGTGACTGACAAAAAAAAGAGAGATCATGCTTTTTGAAAGTAATTGAGGACGTTACACTAAAGATATCTAAATTACTAAAGTGATTCTAGCAAGTCAGGTTCAAAATCGTCAAGCTGAGGTAAATGTGTCTTATGGGGAACTAAAGACTTTCCCAGTGGTGTACAGGCATGAAAATTAAGGGAATCTCCTTCTAGGCTCTTCGGTCCTAACATTGATCTGCCTGGGCATATCACTGAGACCCTTTCTAGAATCCTGTTTGATAATTGTCATTCTTCTACTTTTAAAAGGAAGGCAAACTTCTCATCTGTCCACAATATTATCACTCACGGCTAAATTATGATATCATCTCAGTGCCAAGCAAGGGAACATTTCAAAATACTGGTTTAGACAAAACCAGTGAAGTCCTAATGAACTACTAACAGTTAATCATTGTGTCTCTCCTCATCTTCTTTCTAGTTTCAGTAGAGGTAAAGCCTTCATATGGAAGGTGGTTTTGCCATCCTGAGTATGGTCTAAATTCAAGATCTGTTGTGAGTGCTGGTTATGATAGACATTCTTTTCTCCCATCCCCTTCCCACCACTATTGTTCAGCTTTGCTGCTGATAATCCCTTGACAGAAAGATGAACACCAGAAAGAAATACTAAAGATGACAGCAACTTATTTACCTGGTATACTACTAGTTTTGAAAAGTCTCCATGCTTTATGATTTTTCACAAGAGAATGTTAAGGACTTATCAACTTTCTCATTAAAAAGGAACCCAGTAAAGACTCTCATTCATGTGTGAAAATAGTCTGCAGTTATACTTTACATATAAAAGCAGAGGAAGTTAAAATTCCATGATTATTTTTGATAGACCAATGCGAAGCAATTTGTTTAGATTCACTGGGAAACATGTTTTACTTGACACGTGACAAGATTCCTGGGTGAGGCACGGCTATATGATTTCCTTTGTGTAAGATCCTCACTATCACTGATAAACTTTATTATTTATTTACTTATTGTTGCCGGTCATCTCTTACATTCCTGCCATGTGCTTACTGGTTTTAGACTCACTTTATTTAGATATATTGTCGAGGCTACTAGATAACTAGAGGACTTAAGAGACAATCTTCCTGTGTAAACCTTACATTTCCTTTTGGCTTAATATCTTATTTCTGATGATAATTTCTACAAATTAGATAAGAAACTCTCCTATTATCAGAAATCTTAAGAGCAGGTGCAGGTCAAAATGTACTCCTATTTGCATTCTAGGTCAGTCTAGGGCATGGTAACCTGAGCTTTAGAGAATTTGCTTCTTTTAGTCAGAATTAATTTATTTCTCTCAGATTTGATCTGACTCTAATTCCATTAGTTATATTGAAATGAGTTAGAATAGATATCATAAAAGCAAAAGCAAATTCATAATATAGTATGCTACAGCTGTTGATTGAAATAACCTTAATTTGTATGTAGGGGATAAGTTTTTTTAAAGACAAGTGGTCTAGTTAATTGGGACCCATTTGTAGCAGGTAGAGATGGCAACTTCTGGTGTCAGGCATGGATTCCCATAAAGATCATCCATTTTAGCTTGAGATTTTTTTCTTTCTTTTTCCATAACATTAAATTTGAATTGAAGAGCTGAAGGCAATTATATTACCTGTCTTCCATCATCCTTATGATCTTAAATCTGTGTAACTTTTTTTGGCTCATTGCTGAAGGCATTGTAATTGGCAAATGTCAACTTGTGAGGCCATCATCTCAAGGAGTAAATAGCTTTTATTAGCGATGGAGATACAAACCAAACTGGTGAGAAACTGTAAAACTTTAGCTGGTGTCATGATGCACAGCTTTAATTTTAGAACTTGGAATGCTAATGAATCAGGACTGTGGATGCTAAGGCAGGAAGCTGGTCTGAGGTACAGGCTGAGATCATGCCTGAAGCCCCTCCCAATGGAAGTATAAAGATACAAAACAACTTGGGAGTAGATGCCAAAACATACTATGTTCTATGACAGAAAGTGTCGAAATTATAATTCTGAAATCAAATTTGACTGGTATCCAATACAAATAGGGCCTATGTGGAGTGGGTAAAAAGGAGATAAGATGATTAGAGTGATGATAAAAGTTTCTAAAGTTTTTATACTAGGATAAATGTCTCTCTTTCCTTCCTCTTTCCCTTCCTCCTGTCTTCCTTCTTTCCTTTCTCTCTTCCCTCTTCCTTTCCTTCTTTCCTTCTTTCTCATTATGTTGTCTAATGTGGATTAAAATTGATAGATTCAAGCAATCCTCCCACCCCAGCCTCCTGGTAGTTGAGCATACAGATATGCTATCATGTTCAGCTTATCAACAAATAAGACTGCATGATTTGAAGGACTCAGTATGAAACAAATACAGAAACTTTTGTGGAAATTAAACCAAGGATAGAGCTCTGTCCTGTTGCACAGGCTGTATGTGGGTGACGCTGATGGTGGACATGTCCATTTGGTGATCTCTTTCCATGAACTAAAGAAATGAGAACTAAAGAAGTGACTCAGAAAGTCACCTATGTTCATGATAGCAACCATCTTCATTTTGAACTCCTGGCTTTGCACTTGTATCTGAAAATTCATTTTCTTTCTCAATAAACAAATCAAATATAGTTGGTTCTGGCTTCCATCTAACTTTAAGACTCCTGCTTAAGTTAGCTACATACAGGAGTTTCGAAGACACTTTCCCAGCCATTCAGATACTGAACGGGAAGATGGAGAGCTGCTCTACAATACTGTCTTTACCCTGAAAACCTTCTCCTGAAAGCTTTCCTTTCACTATTCTCTTTGATTTTAAGTGCACTTTCCAAGCATTCATCAGACTAAGATTGACATCATTTTTTCATTTTAAAAAATAGAATTGAAATCAGACTGGATGATAACATATTTTCCAGCCATTTGGAGCTGGTCTTCATCTGGACTTGGGTCTTTCAGCATGACTATATACTGAGAAATCATAATGGAAAAGTTTTATGTACAAGTTAATCAATATACATGGAATAGCCTTTTGCCTGAAGGCAGCAATTGAAAGATGCATTTTATGAGTAATGTTGACTTCTGTTCTTTAAAATTTAGCTAAATCATACATCAATTGCCAGACCTTCCTTTCATGTTCTCAAAGAGCTTTTCTTTATCATGTCCTTTTTTTTAAAAACCACTTAATCTGTTCTCTACTTCAGAATTTCTCTGTATCTTTATTTTTTTCATTCTATTCCATAGGCAATATATATTATGTCCAAGATGTTGGCCTTTAGAGAGACAAAATTTTGTGTGTGTGTGTGTTTTTTTTAAAGATTTGGATGCTATTCAAGGTCTTTGGTTAGAACTATACATCCTTAACAGTGGTACAAAATATGCAGAGATATTAGATTAGAACATATGAAATTGCCATTTTTGTAGGTCAAAATTGATAAATGATTAGCATGTCTCTGAAACTTAACCATAATACTATGACTAACTCTATCAATTGGATGTAGCATTTTGGAAATGCTTAAGATATTGTAAGAAAAATAGTAGAAATTGGTGGTCCCTGCCTATACTCCCAGCTAAGTAGGAGGCTGAGATCTAAAGATCACAGTTCAAAGCTGAGTAAGTCTGGGCAGTTATGTCTAAAAGACTTTTATCTCCAATTAGTCAGAAAATGCTGAAAGTGGAAATGTGGCTCAAGTGGTAGGGTACAAAACCTT